TTATGTTCCCTCTCTGTTGTCTTGCTCTTTCTGGAACGTCGGTTGTCCAGACAGTGCATCGACTGGTTTGTGCCTGTTGCTTAGTTACTGCGTGTCTTTGTCCTTTATTCTTAGATCTCTTTTCCAGTTATGCCAGCGAGGGGTTCAGGTCTATTATCAGGTTTTAATTTTCCAGGGTTCTTTTGTTCTCTTAATGTTTTGTTTTATTTTTAGGATACAACAGCCTGTTCTATTTAACAGATACAGTATTTAACCTTGCTTTGGGTTTTTCTCTTTCACACTGTAAGTTTTGCTCCTATGTCGTAATTCCTGCGCGTTCATAATTAAGTGGAGGTAGTTGGGCTTCTGGTTTTCCGAGAAATATTGGCAGCTGCCTAAATCTGAATCTCTTTCATCACCTTCCCAACACCATACAGACCAGGAGAACCCAGGAGGTTCCCTGTGACACACCTGCAATGTGAGCGTGAGACGCAGAAGTCCAGCTTTCAGGAGAGGAGAGAAATAAGCACCAAGGCCAGCACCAGGACCCGTGTGAAGGCAGAGTCAGGCAGAAACTGTACAGTAAGAGGACGAGGGCAAGGGGGGCCGCGTGGCGGCAGTACACGCGGTGCGGGGAGGCAGGGACCCACCGCCAGGGCTGGAAATGCAGACCGTCCCCGGCTGATGACGGTTCACCCGAATGGTTTTTTGACTTTACAAGGGTACAAACACCATACACGTCCCGTAGAAACTGTACTTGGATTTTGAATTTGGGTCTTCTCCCAGGCCAGCAATACGAGATACGTACCCTCGTGATGCCAGATGGCGGCTGTGGCTTCCGCTCCTGGGCAGCCATGCGATCATGAGGGCCGTCAACCACACGCTTCGTACTGCTCTGTGCCCACACAGCCAGCAACACGGTATTCAGTCGATACAAGAGAGTTAACACTTTATTATAAAACAGGCTATGGGGCGCCCAGGTGGCTCAGTCCGTTAAGCATCCAATGTTGGCTCGGGCCGTGGTCTCATGGTTTATGAGTTCGAGCCCCACACTGGGCTCCATGCCGATGGTGTGGAGCTTGCTTGGGATTCTCTTTCTCCCCCTCTCTCCCTGCCCCTTCTGTGCTTTCTCCCTCAAAAACAAATCAATAAACTTTAAAATTAAGTAAATTAAATGGGCTATATGCCCAAACAGGACTCTGCCCAACCGCAGGCTAATGTAATCGCTCCTGAGCACGTTTAAGGCAGGCCGGGCTGAGCTAGGGTGTGGGGTAGGTTAGTGTATTAAACGCATCTTCAGCCAGTGATGGGTTTGCTGCACTGTAAGTTGAGGAAGATCTGTACTGATAAATCGGACACCAGTTCACCAGAGCACTGGCCACTGGGTCATCGAGAGGAAGAAGTCCTGAGTTTGCAGGTGGCTGTGTGGGGAAAGTATTGTCTGCCGGAGGAGGGGCCGAGATCTCCTGGAAGCCGGATGGTAAAGTACAAGAAGCATGGATGTCACAGGGAGGAAATAGATCACAGAACCAGAAAACCACAGAATCAGGCTCAAAAAGCAAAGTACTCTCAAAGCTCAAAATTCCCTCTGAGGAATACTGCACATCACTGTACCAACAGAACACTCTGGAATCAAACCCACTGAGCTGCACAAACCCCTCAGGTCTGCCTAGATAGAACCAATTTTCTGCAAGTCAAGGGAAAGAATGCCTTTCAAAATGAGCAGAAAAAGGAATACAACATTTTTAAACACTGCCGGGAGAAGAAGAAAAAATGAGAATCCGTTCCAGCTGATGGAGAGCCTCTCCTCAACCGTAAGGCAGAAGAAAACCACAAGAACCAGCCTGAATCAAATATCCTTACCCAGGGCATTGCAGAAATCAAAATGAACACTGGCACTTGAAACTGGCACTGACTTGAAGATGTCAGAACAAAAACGGAACAAAAAGAATACCTTCAGCAAGCTGTAAAAAAATGATGATTGAAGGGTGAACAAGGAAGAATAGATTCAACTGAAAGTACAGGGAAGGGCACTGAAGAAAAGCAGGAAAGCAGCCAGGGGTACGTAGCAGAGGTTACACAGAGAAAGCAGAAGGGACACTTCTGTGTGTGTGCACTGTGTGCGCGCACTGTGGTGTGCTCACACAGTGATGTGCGATATCCAGCAACAAGAATGGACGATCTGCTAACATACAACCTCCCTTTGGACATCTAACCTTAACCCTAACCCATGGAGGTAACTGGATCTCTGCGATTAGAACGCAACTGAAGAAGTGTGGGTGGGTCTATCTTCATAAATGCGTTCCTGGGAACCATTTATACCTGTGTAGGTGCACACATTTATATACGGAGTTAAATTTTTTAAGATTCTAAGTAACGTCTCCACCCAACATGGGACTCGAACTCACATCCCTGAGATCAAGAGCTCTACCGACTGAGCCAGCCAGGCGCTCCTCTTGTTATTTTAAATGTATACCAACACCTTCAAGGAATCCTGTGAGGAATCTTGTGAAAACAATAAAACAAATGCCCTCCCCATTTCTTTCATATCGATGCAGATCTTCATGTATTTAGTTTGTAAGGAATATTTAGCTTGTAAGCAATGCTTCTAGCCTGGAATGATTTGTGTCTTTTAAGGGTATTCTAGCTTGAAAATACACAAACTTTGAATCTTTAGAGAAGTATGGAGAAGAGTCCGTGTTCCTGAGGGAATTATTGAAAAAGCACATAAAAATGGAACTTGAAAAACATCTCGCCATTTCATCCACGTAACACCGAGAATCTGAGCGGCTGCTCTTTATTCTTTTGGACCTCTGATGTAGGAGCTCGTGGCAATATGTGTGTCCCAGGAAGCTTCCAGACTAAGCTAGACAATACAGAGCAGTGCGCTAGGTGTCAGACAGACCCAAAGGGAGAGCACTATAATTTCAGAAATAGTAGGAAAGTACAGGTCTTGCCTTGTCTGGAAGGCTTCCTGTTCTGAATTATCACCCAGTTTGGCCCCATGTGTGGGTTACTGGTGTCTTTCTAGCAGAAGACTGTTGTGTTAGTGTTCAGTGAAAGGTGGACTGGAAACAAGGTTGGGGAGGTGGAGGGAGCCCCGCGTATCAGCCCTAGTTTGTTTGAACAAGCACACTTCTTGGCCTGCTCTTCCCCCCTCGCAGGAGTGGTGATCGTAACCCGTCCTTTCCTTTCTATGAATCGGGACTGGCTGTTACGCCAGCTGCTGACTTCACCTTCAGTTTTTCAGAGATCCTGAACTTCCCCGAGAGCGCCCCCTGGTGCTCAGTAAACGGGAGGGTAAATCTTTGGGCAAGTTAATTCCAGGGCGGAGGCAAGTTTCTGTGCTACCAGATACAATGCCGTGAGCCTGAGTAATGATGTGGCTCCAGAGTCACTTAAGAAAGAGCAAGTCTTTTGCTCTTCGTTTCAAAGACAGGTGATGATCAAGTGTGACACGTAACAACATTCTGGGGGAATGTTAGAAAAAATAAAAGTGGGGATCTCCATGTGGCATACTTTTCTGTTAATTTTAACCCCCTGGGCAATTTAGTCTGCAATGATAACTGGCATGTCAGAGTTTCACTTCGCTAGTCAACAACAACTACAACAAACTGCTAAAAACGCAAGACAGAGAATAACAGGAAACCACTGCTCTTCGATAAGAATTAACAAACTACAGAGAGCGCTGGGCTTTGTTCTCTCAACAGCCCGAGAGAGGGAGGTCCCGCACGTGTCCGTGCTGCCCGGTCCCAGGGAGGTAGCAAGTCTGTGGGAAGATGGAGCAGCTGTTTCACTTTGACACAAGTTTATTTAAAAATCCTACGGACTCGGAGAACATACAGTCTCAGTGCTGCAGGACCAGAGCACAGCGTGAGATGTTCTTTGTGTTTTCCACTTAGATACACACTTATGGTCTAAAAAGCAAGACAGAGCTTTCCAGATTTAAAGTTCGGTTTGCTAGATAATGAGGAGCCCTGGCTTTAAGAACACACTAAATTTTCATGAACTCTACTCCCCTTCCCTGCCAACCCATGTCCCCTGAGTGAAGGGTGACCGCAGGTAAAGGTGGACCCAGAATTAGCAGCTGGTATTAGGGTAGAACGTTTGCTTTTTTTTTTTTTTTAAAGGATAGAAAACAAAACCAAGAGAACAGAAAGCTTTCTTTGATATAAATGACCCAGAGTTGGGGGTAACGGAATTCTACAGTAAAAGTTTTCTCAAAAGTTCTATCACGGATTGAAGGCTATTTGATTCCAAATTTAAAATTACCTTCCCTTCTCTTGCCAGCCACCAGTTTTCCGTCATCCCTTAAAACTGACCAACTCCTGATTTTACCAGCTGGCTCTTTCTCGGCCCATCCATCCTCTCTCTGTTGGGGCCACTGCCCTTCCTCCGCCCATTTACGTTGCCCCCAGAGAACCCATCCGGATGCTTCCCAAACGTTCTGGACTCTCTGGCTTACTCATCTTTCCAACCCCACCCACACCTGAATCAAAAGACGGCTGTTCTCAGGGACCACACAAAAGGGAGAACGTGACAGACAGGGTCTCCACCCCCAACACTATTTACTATTCTCTCTGCCCTCTTACCCCCTCATCCTACTCGGTGAACCGCTTGCTCTTCCCAGGCCTTTCCTGTGCCCCGTGGCTCCGCCGGGCCCTTCCCACCCTGGCCCTTCCCCCTCCCTTCTTACAGGCTAGCCTGACCTGCCCTAGAAGACCCCGCCCTGCCCCAATGTGGTCTCATCCAGCAAGCATCCCCACTGCACCGAGCAGAACCCAGTGCAGAGCACTTCCTGTGTTCAAACCAATCCGCTCCCGTCTCCCTCCCCGGCCAGCTCACTCCCAGCCAGGCTGTAACATCTGAGGACGCGAGGTCTCTTTTTACCTCACTGCCCAGAACCCTGTACAGTTCTGAATCAACAAATGTTTACTGCACATACTTTGCTAAACTGAGCAAAAATGATCCTATGTGAAAGTATATAATGGCATATACTCAACATAATACGCATATTTAAGTCCTTTATCCATACATATTTATTAAATACTATTTTTTAACTTCACACTTAAGAAATTTCAAAGCTTGTCAGCACTTCACCAGACAAGCTAAAATAAAAAGGAAGGGCAGTAGTGTTCAGACCGACGGACGCCTGAAACGCTTACACACTGCTGGTCCGGGGGTCCCCTGGCAGCATTTCGTAAAGCGAGACGTACATCCACAGTGCAGCTCCAATCCTGGGGACCGTACGTGCCCGACAGAAACGAGGAGGCACAGTGTCCTGAGAGCCAGCCAGCCCTGCACAGGCCAGAACGAGCCGGAACTGTCGCACCTGTGGCATCGGGATGGAGGAACGACGCTGGCTGATCCGTAAAAGCACCGCAGAGCAGTGAACTTAAGACATGCAGCGGCAGCAGCAGGGAGGACAGTGCTTTCATATGAAGTTCAAAACCAAGCTCACCGGACCTGTGGTGACGGAGATGAAGACAGCGTCCGCTTCGGAGGTGGTGGGTATGGGCTCCGGGCGCTGCGCCCGTGAGGACGCCTCCTGCAGGAACTGCGATGCTCCCCGCCTGGATCTGGGCGGCAGCTACCCAGCGGCGCCCTGGGGAGGCTCGCGCGGCTGCACGCCTGGATCTGGCACCCTGGAACACGCAGGTCATGTTGCAACATAGTTGAGAAAAGCAAAAGCTTGTGACCTAAGCTCTTGGGAATATACCAGAGCCAGAGGTGCAGCCCCAGACAGAAGGTCAACAGACCCAAGTACCTTAGTCTCTTTGCCGGAACATGGAAAGGAATGTTTCTAAAAAGAATTATACTTTTCAAAAGGCACAGACGGTATTCGTTTTTATTATAGTGCTTACAGCTCTGGCTTAAGGTTCATAAAACGTTTGCAGGTAACGTGCTATGTGCAGTGAACGAGGTAGCTCTGGGACGGCACATGCTGCAGCCACGTAGCCCCGGATCTACTCACTCGGCTACATTTTGAGAAACCGCTCAACTCCGGCCTACAAAATGCAGTTGCTCCTTGTGACTAGAGAACGTCTGCAAGAGGCTGATTTTACCGTAGTCCTTATGGGCCTGAACCTAAAATCCGCCTTTTAGTGATGACAAAAATAAAATTTTTTAAGATATAGAAAATTTATTTCCTGTTAAGATTAAAACAAAAATGAAAACAGACCTCTGAGTACCCTGAAACAACGAGTACGCTTTGTACTCCAGGTCGTACTGACATTGCGACATGAACACCAGTTCCGGGACTGAGTTTTCATATTACTGCAGAAGTACTCAGTGTAGCCAAATACCTCGCAGGATTCCTCACGGAGTACTCTGAAGAAGGTATGCAAATAAAAAGATTAACAGCAAGAACACCTACAAATTCCCCAAGTAAACGTGCAGAATAAAACCGGGGCTACAGTATACACAGGAGTGAACGCAGCACCTTTGAGCATAAAATACTTCTCGTTATAATCTCATATGGGTATATATAAAATAGAACTAGATCCTAACCGACAAACCTTACAAACTTCCTGAGGGGCTGGCATTAAGCTAGTGAGGTGACACAGCCACGCGGTGTGTGACACCCGCCTGGTTTTCAGAGACTTCGCCCATGTTTGACACTGATGCTGTCACCTTCAAGGCACCGGTCCAAGTGCTCGTTAATCTGAGACTCCAGGACTTCTTTCTGACAGACAGGACAGCTGACGGCTGGGCTGCTGGAGCTCTGAGCTGCGGCCGGACAACGTGAACTCCACGCAGGATCGTTTGCGCCACTTTGTACTTTCTCTTTCTTGAAAAAATGGTCAAGAACAGACCTGTCTTCGAGCCTGGCCCGTTTACTGGGCGATCTCTCTTCGGGCCCACTCCCGTCCGGGGGTGCGGTCACAGAGGTTGATTCTGGGGCTTTTAAAGAATTTCTCAGGGATATCTTAGAGGAGGTGACCCTTCTGTGAGAACCGGAAGGGATGGGGGTTTGGAGGAGGTCACCGACTGTCCCGCTTTTTGCTGGCGATCCACTCACACTTCTGAAGGTTTTCTGGTTGACAGCTGATACTCTAGGAAAGTAGTTGCTTACAACATTTTGGTGACCGGCAGTAAGAACAGGGGAGACTAGAGAAGTTTTTCTGCTCGGACCATTCTGTTCTGATTTCACCTCAGTTTTAGAATTAGGTCTCAGAGCCTTTGCCGACTGGTCTTGACTGAAAAGATCTTGGGTTTTACTGACGGCGTGTGAAGCGACAAATCTCCCGGGTGAGGGTGAATTGCTCGTGTCTCCCAGGACGTACCCTTTCCCACTGAAAGGGATTAACGGTTGGGTCTCACCTCTGGTGGGCTGATCTGCAAAAGAAGCAAAGGTTTTCTTGACGCAAAACCAACACAGTAACAGATGTCAAGCTAACGGACAGTTTGTTCACAATGAAGAAATAGGGTGTTACTCTGTAACTTTGGTCCGCATGCTAACTACCTATTCATCGGGAGGACCATCTGCAGCAGCTAGGGGGTCTCCGGTGGGGCAAAGGCCAAAACAACATCCTCTCCTATTTAGCTTAGGAGTTTTATCAGCCAAAGACCACCTGCAAAGGAACTTTTACCTTGAAAATCGCTTAGCATTCATTCCTGAGGTTCAGTCCCACAGGGAAAAGTCTGCGCCCACACTATCTTTCCTCCTGGTTGCACAGAATGAGGGCATATCATCTCTCTGTGTACGTTCTCTAGCTCTTCCACTCACTCACCGTTTCAGATTTGGGAAGAGGAGCTTATTACGTTCCTGGATGCAATCAACAACTTCCCAAGGGAAGAAGCATTAATGTTAGTGACCTGGCTCCCTCTTCAAAAGGCAGTAACTCTGAACTTCATAGGAAACGGATAAATCCTGAAGATGGAGTACCGGCACATACATGTCATATCCTTTTCCCACTCTCCCCATGAAAACACATCCATCCACAGCAGAAGTCACTGGGACAGAACCCAACTGATAGGAAGGGGCGGGGTCAGGACTGATTCCGGGCATTGTTATCTGAATTACTGTTTTTATTTTGACAATCTTTCTGCCTTCTGTTTCCCAGTGACTCAGTGAGTCCAGACCGGGAAAGGGGCTTCAGAGTCTAATAAGGTCCGTGCAAACCATTTCTACCATAGCTCCCTGCATAGAGCGCAGCGGGAGTCAGACTGGGAAAGGGACTCTTGAGCCTCTAACGTGGTCAGTGAAACTACTTCTACCCTAACCGTCCTCCATACAGAGCAGCACACATTTTTCTACCACCGTTTCAGAAAAAAATGGGATTGTTTGAAGTCCACACTTGCAAACGTCTACACCAGAAACAATCCTTAGCTCATCCTAACGCCACTTCTCTCGAGGCCGGCGCCGGCTTTCTGCACCGTCCGCTGCAGTCCCGTCAGAGGCAGAAGGACAGACAGAGGTACCTTTCTTTCCCACCGCTGTCGGCTGCCTTCCTGGTCTGGCCTTGCCCTTGCCTTTGCGGGCGTAGTTCTCTGGCTCCTTGATCTTCACGTAGGTGCCGCCACACGTCTGCTGGTGCTCGGCCCACCAGTAGTCGTGAGCGGACGGCGCCCGGTTGGTGGCGCGTTTGACGTAGCCATAGTAGGGCTTCCTGTGCCGACACGGCCCGTCACAGCGCCACCAGTGTCGCCGGTACTCATCCACCTCATCGTGGAACGTGTGGTACACCTGCGCAGACAGAAGGCGTCGGCGTGAGGGGCACAGGTTAATGGTTTCAAGAAAATATATGGGTTTCAACTTTCTTTCGGTTTCAACTCTGCAGCTTCTGAGAGCGCTCTGCAGTGACATGGGGGCGGGGGGGCAAAGGATGTAGCTTCTGTTGGAAGGTTCGTGTTAATGGAAGAGCAGCAGTTCGTACTCCAGGACTGTGTGAGGGGTGGGGCTCCTGGGTGGCTCAGGAGGCTGAGAGTCCAACTCTGGTTCACAGTTCCTGGGTTCGAGCCCTGCATCAGGCTCTGTGCTGACAGCTCAGAGCCTGGAGCCTGCTTCGGATTCGGTGTCTCCCTCTCTCTCTGACCCTCCCCTGCTCACGCTGTCTCTCTCTCTCAAATAAGTAAACATTAAAAAAAATTTTTTTTAAAAGAAAAACATGAGATTGGAAGACAAAAGAAAATATTTTTTGACTCGCAAAAAGCTCTATCAAATGCTAGAAGCATTAGAAGCCAAACTGTAAAATGAGCAAAGATGTGGCTAAAGACAGAACCGTATACAGTGCCATGAGGAGGAGGAACCGCTGCCACTGCCCAACCGAAACGTTCCCCCAGAGGTGACAGCCACGGGGTCCTGGACCAGCTGCTGCAAATGCTCCCGCCCCACCTCACCACACCCTTGCAGCTCTTCGCTGGGGTGTCTGTAAGGAGCCTCCCGGGGCAGCATTTTATCTGGTTACGGCAAAGGCTCCCAGGATTCAGACGCTTTCATCTTTGTGCCCCTGGTGGCTGAGGTAGGCTCTGGCCCAGTAAGGATGCTCAGTAAGTACCTGAGTCAGTACTGAGTGCGTACTGAGTACTGGGTACGGACCTGAGCGAAAAGCTTCACTTGTCAACTCAAAAAGATTTTCTGTGAATGTACTTTTCAATCCTTACACAGGATCCTCTTCACCTTCTAGATGGAACCTTACTCAGAATCTAAGCAGAGGACAGAGCCAAGAGGTCTCAAAGGAAAGTCAGCCCTCCCACCTCAGTGGTGGATAATCCGGGGTGCCTGGGGGGGCTCAGTCAGTTGAGCGTCTGACTTCAGCTCAGGTCATGGTCTCACAGTTCAGGAATTCGAGCCCCACATCGGTCTCTGTGCCGACAGCTTGGAGCCTGAAGCCTGCTTCAGGATTCTGTGTCTTCCTCTCTCTCTGCTCTGTCTCTCTCAAAAATAAACTTAAACAAAAAAAAACAAAAAACCTAGGAAGTGTCTTTAAAATAAATAAATAATAAACACTGATAATCCTATATAACTCTTGAGTACCTTTTCCACCTCTCAGTGGAACGTGACTAGATAAGGAGCATCTGTACAGGAGATTCTTTTTTTATTTTAATTTTAATTTTTAAGTAATCTCCACACTCAACGTGGGGCTCGAACTCACAACTCCGAGATCAAGAGTCGCACACTCTACCGACTGAGTCAGCCAGGTACCCTGATGAGATTTTTCTTAACCAAGAGATTGAACTTTCTAATAAATTCCCTTGAGGGAATGTGAAACCTTCCGTAACTCTACACATAGTTTTCTAGCGCCTCTCCAATGTGAGCAAAGATCTTGTATGGCTTGGCAAGCATGCCAGTAACGCACAGTATTCGAGGCACAGAAGAAACTCGAGGGCAGAGGTTTAGGGGCAAAGCCATCTGAACACCCTGCCCTTTCTATGATGTCAAAAATGCTTCTTCACTTCACTCGCTGGCCAAAAACATCAGGGAATTGGATCTGTTTTGCTTCCAAGTCCTGTAAGTTCCCCTCCAGCACGGGGGTGGGACTTCTCGAAGGTCGCCGCCACTAAAATAAAATTGTGAAACTGGATGCCCTGTGGAGTTTGTTATAACAGGATGTAACCTGTAAAAGCAAGGGGTGTCCCCTCGATAAAACCTCTCCTAAATGAAAACACACAGATGGCCAAGATAAAAGAATAGAAGCTCTCCTTCCAAGTGAACAAGAGGAAGTATACCAGGACTTCGCTTAAAGCCGAAACACCAGTGAGGAAACTAAAAGCCTTCTGTTCTAGCAACTCCATACTTCTTTTGCTAATCTGGGTTTGATGGGACTGATTTTTAATGCAAGCCACTTTCTTGATGTTGAAGGAACTCTATTCGATAACGAAAAGAGCTCTCGAGGGAATGAAAACCAAGAGCTGGGAAAAATACACAGAAGGTGAGCACTTCCATGTTCCACCACGCTGGCCTTCACCGCCCTTCAAAGGCAGGAAATAACCAAACACACCAAAGAATTTAATCTCTGTAGGAACTACAATTCTATTTGGTTCAATCCAATTCAGGATTTGTTAAGGCCCTGCTGGAGCGCTGCATTACACACCTTAGACGGAGGTCTACAGAGAAGGAAGAGCCACCTCGAGCTCAGAGGTCTGAGAGCAGGATAAAATAGTGTAAAAGGTACAAGAGCTGCTGAGGACGTTCAAAGGAGGGAGAAGTCTAGCCCACTGCGAAGAGAAGAGCATCCGACGGAAAACAGAGGAAATGGCATATTTTAGGGAGAGGATGTAGGGGGAGAGGCACAGGGGGTGGAAAGTTCACTTAGAAACCAGGCAGTATGGGGGCGCCTGAGTGGCTCAGTGAGTCAAGCGTCAAGTCATGACTTCAGCTCAAGTCATGATCTCACAGTTTGTGGGTTTGAGCCCCACATCCGGCTCTGTGCTGACAGCTCAGAGCCTGGAGCCTGCTTCAGATTCTGTCTCTCTCTCTCTGCCCGTCCCCCACTCATGCTTTGTCTGTCTCTTTCAAAAATAAATTAAAAAAAAAAATTTTTTTTAAAAACCCAAAAAACTACTAACAAGACAGTACAGTCACTTGATAAAATGAATCAGTGATCGAAACAACTGGTATTTAACCCATGCTCAAACCAGGCTCCGTTGTTTTGTATTTTCTCCTCTGACCCTCTCAAGGACCCCGCAGAGGAGCACTGTGCTGCCGGGGAGCACCCGGTGGGGGGGGGGGGCTGCGGAGAAGTTAAGGAGGAGGCCTCACAGCGAACCATCCTGGGAGCCTGCATCTCAACCCAAGCAGTCAGGACTTGCCCGCGCTTTTGGCCCCAGGCTCCACTTCCTACAATATTATGCAGAAAGAGGAATCAAGGAAGACTTCCAAGGAGAGTAACGGACACAGGAAACGGCACTGGAAACTGCAGGGCACAGAAGGAGCGGAGGAGACTATAACCCGGAAAACTAAGTTAACCGAGAGACAACTGTCATCACCCAGAGGCACACACAAGCCAGCCAGCTTCTCTCCGCCTGTCTTACCACCCACTCTGGAAAACCCTCAAAGACAGTACTCGTTTCCACCCACCTCGCTGTCTAGTTTTACTGAAGCCCCAGGAAGTACAGAATAACTGACTACTAAAAATATAAATGCCGGTGGCTCCACACACCGTTATGTTGGCTCCAGTGAGGCGATTGATGCGATGCATATGTTTGCAGAACTCTGGGCCGTGCCCCTCCCGGTCCTTGTCGTTATTCGTGACGAATAGATACGCGTGGATCATTTCGTGCAAGAGGGTCTGAAACAGAAAACAAGCAAATTCATTGTTAGGGCACTTTCGAAAAGAGAAATGCATTTTTAAAAATGTTTTATTTATATCTGAGAGAGAGAGAGAGAGACGGCACGAGCAGGGGAGGATCAGAGAAAGAGGGAGACACAGAATCAGAAGCAGCTCCTGGCTCTGAGCTGTCAGCACAGAGCCCGACGCAGGGCTGGAACCCACGAACCGTGAGATCATGACCTGAGCGGAAGTTGGACGCCTAACCGACTGAGCCACCCAGGCACCCCGAGAAATGCCATTTTCTTACTCTACCTGGGGACTAAACTTCCCTTGGATCACAGGCTCCTTTCAGAAACTGACAAAAGTCGGGACGCCTGGGTGGCTTAGTCAGTTGAGCGTCCGACTTTCGCTTAGGTCATGATCTCGCGGTTCGTGGGTTCGAGCCCCGCGTCGGGCTCTGTGCTGACTGCCAGCTCGGAGCCTGGAGCCTGTTTCAGTCTGTGACTCCCTCTCTCTCTGACCCTCCCCTGCTCACGCTGTCTCTCTGTCTCTCCTAGAAATAAATAAAACATTAAAAAAAAAAAAAAAGAAACTGACAAAAGTCATGAAGCATCTTACTAGAAAAATTACGTACACATACATTCACAAAACTTAGTGTGTTATAGCTGAACCTCTGCAGATCCCAGGTCAAGGATCCCTTGTGCCAGGAAAGTCTTTCCACTCTCACTCAAAATCAAAAGGAAAGATCAATGAGCTCAATTACATAAGAACTTTAAAATTCTGCATGGCGTGAAAGCGGCGTGAGTGAAAAGACAAATCAGAACAGTGTTGTGCAAGGCCTCTCACAGGGTCTTTATTCTTCAAATATAAAGAGCTACTGGGGGCGCCTGGGTGGCTCAGTCGGTTGGGTGCCCGACTTCGGCTCAGGTCATGATCTCACAGTTCATGGGTTCGAGCCCCCAGTCAGGCTCTGTGCTGGCAACTAGCTTGGAGCCTGGAACCTGCTTCATATTCTGTGTCTCCCTCTCTCTCTGATCCTCCCCTGCTCACGCTGTCTCTCTCTTTCTCTCAGAAATAAGTAAAACATTTAAAAAAAAAAAAAAGCTACTGAAGTCAACAGGAAAATGACCAATAATCCGAGTTTTAAGTGGGCAAAGATTAGACAGTTCACAGAAAAATGTAAATGACCCATAAACATGAAAAAAATGTTCAACTTCATCTATAAAAATAATGACAAATTCATGTATGCCACTTCTCTCTTATCCAGATGAGTAAACTCCCGAAGTTTGACCCCATTAGTAAAGCCAAGGGAAGCAAACATTGCCAGCTGTCTCTGGCGGGAGGTGCAAAATGGTATAAACCCCCACGGAGGAGAATTCGGAAGGACCTCACAAAAGTGACAAAGGCATTTATCCTTTGACCCAGCAATACCTAGACTGACGTGAAAGATCACAGGTACAAGGTGCTTTCACTGTGGCACTGTTTATAGTAGCAAAAGGCTTGGAAGTAAGTGCTCAGCAATAGGGGCCCGGCTGAATGAACTCTGGAAAATTGGAAAATCTGTCTCGTGAAATTCTATACGGGGTTAAAAAAAAAAATGAAAAAGATCTCTATGAAATCATTTGGAGAAACCTGCAGAGTACAGTTTTAATGAAAAAGGCAAAGTGCAGAAGAGAGTACACGATACTGTGTGTTAAGAAGCAGGTTATGCGATCAGGAGAGGGAGTAAGAATCAACATAAATATTTGCAAAACAACAACGAAAGAGAAAAGAAACTAATGATAACAATTATCCTATAGTAACTGGAGAGTTCTGGATACAGGGATGGGGTAGGCATTTCTGTGTGTCCAGCTTCCCATAGTTTGGGGGTTTCTGACTATGTAAAATTCTAAAACACACAAACAAACAATAAAACCTACCGCTCTGGTGAATAGCATCTGAAGGTAAATGCTGTGACTGGCCCAGACTTCAACTGAGTTTGTACTTAGAGAAATTACATAAATCTCTGAGTTAAAGCAACGCCGTCACCACACTCCTGCTCATCCCCACACCACGGAGGCAGACGCACAGGTGCAGGATTAAAAGTTTATTAATTAAATTAAAAGTGCAGTATTTAAAGCTGCTGTTTAAATATAATATTATAAAAAATATTATAATTAATTAATTAAATTAAAAGTGCAGTATTTAAAGCTGCTGTTTAAATATAATATTATAAAAAATATTATAATTAATTAATTAATTAAAAGTGCAGTATTTAAAGCTGCTGTTTCGTAATTTGTCCTATAAAATATGGAGCCATTTTTTAAACAGTGGAAGTCATAAAGGTCTTCGAGAACAAACCCTGTTCATAATTTTTGTAACGGGAATTCCCGCCAGAAGTAGATTGCCATTAATGATAAATAGATTTTATCAAATCATGCTGAACGGAAAAATGGGTGTGTCGGGCACTGTACCTTGGTCATTATGAAAACACCCCTTTCAAAATGATCAACACTCTCTCTGAAAATGAACTTAATCTTTTCAAGTAAATGCCACTCCACTGGGACTCAAATTCAAAGGGCATTCTACATTTCCATTTTTTCCCAACATTCTTAAGTAATGATCGATAACCATTCTTAGAAAGGAAAAATAAATTTAGATTCCTAATCTGGGGTTCAGCTGAAACATCTTGAAGACGGCACATGGCACCACACTGAACATTTCTGTTTTTATGTATCTTCCATTTTCCACATTTAGGCTAGATTCAAGGCTCTACTCAACATGGTCCCTCAGGTCTCACGCCCTGAGATTCATGCCCCACTTTTGCTCACAGCATCCTATTCCTTCTACCAAGAGTAATTTTCCTGTACCATCTCTACTTGTCAGAATCCAACCTGTCCTGTAAGGCTCAGCTCCATGTTTTCAGTACCAGTAGTAGCAGTCACACAGCGGTAGTGATAAGCCCAAGCACAGGGGACAGGACAAGAACTTTAGGGCCAGGAGTCTAACACAAGGGTTTGTTACTTATTATGCACAAGACCTTGGACAAGTTACAACCTGCTGCTCATCCCTAAAATGGGCATATCCTAACCTTGCAGGGCGATGGTAAAGGTACAAACTGGATTAACTATTAACCAGATGAACACTAGTCCAAAATCTGGCACACAATACGTGCTCAATAAAGAGTGAGAGGTGGTGTTAGGTAGTAATAAAATACACGCGCATGAAGCTTTTCTTCTTTGTCCTTAACCAAAGTCTTCTCCTTTTCTGAATCCTATTCATTATAATACAGGTCGCTACTTTATATACAGACCAGAGCCACACTGTTCCTCAGTGGTCCTTCTTACCCTGATCTGATATTGTAACTTTCTGCTCACTTGACAGCATTACCACACATTTCCCATTCTCTTCTCGCCCATTACCTTTAAAAAACAAATTGTTTGTGTGTTTACTTAATCATTTACACAATAAATATTCATTAAGCAACTACTATTCTAAGTAGGGTTCCTCAGAAGGTTGATTTGGTTACTTATGTTCAATTTTTTTGGTTTTAAGTCTACAATTTTTTTTTCTGCTTATTCACTGAGTTACCAAAGAGATAACGCCTGCACCTATGATTGTGGGTTGACTTTCTTTTTTCACTTCTACTAATTTATGCTTCATGTAGTTTAAAGCTATAATATATTATTACTGTTAGAATCATTATGTGTTTCTATTTAACAGATTATTTTACCATTATAAAATGTGAACCGGTTTTCCTAGTAAAACTTCTTCTCTTAAAATCTTTAGTTTGATACAACAACTTTCTGTTAGGGTTTTGGATGATACACTTTTTCCTGACCTTTCACATTTAACCTATCTGTATCTTTACTTTAAGCCACCTCTTTTAATCTAATTGCCACTCAAGTGCTTAGTCCATTTACATTTAATATAATTACTAATAATCATCTTTGCGCCTACCTTTCTTTTTGGAGGGCTTTGTTCCTTTATTCCTTCCTTTCTTTTTTGTTAATCAAGTATTCCCGTTGTACCATTTTACATTTAGTAGCCATTTGCTTTTTTTAGTTGCAGTAAAAAACACAGAACACGACATTTAACATCTTAACTATTTTTAAGTGTACAGCTCAGGAGTGTTAAGTATATTCAGTGTTCTGAAACCCATTACATTTTATTACCCTTTAAAACAGCGTCTTTTGTGTTTCCAAGCACATTCTAATATATTTCCCATCCAACCACTACCACTCTATCTTCTTTGGTGCCTACATTTCAAATTATACAATTAGGGCAAGACAGGTCATACTGGGTATATCTTGTGGAAGTTTCAGGAATCTTCTGAACTCAAACTAACCATAATCCGGGAGCTCCTACAGCTCCATTTTGCTAGTGAAGTGCACCCTCACTCCAGCTGGCTGGTTTTACCAGCTCGGCTAGATCTTCTGGAAGGGCAGCGTCCTGGTGGCTGAACAGAGGACAATCAAAATTTGTGTGCCTCAATAGGGAGATACAGGTCCTACTTTCTTCTCTGCTTCTAAGTATGTAACTTAAATGAGTTTACTTACGCTTTCTGAACCTTAATTTCCTGAGGACCACACACATTGTACATAAACAAGGTTGTTAAGATCAACCCTGGTATTATACCTGAAAGCCTTCAACTGTGAAGAACTACACAAATATAAGGTAATCATTACTACTGGCCCTGCAATTAAAGTCTGCCATAAGGAAAACAGTATTTTTTTTCACATGTATAGGTTAATTCACATCAGTCTAAATCGATATAAGCATGTTTTAAATGATTGAGGTAAGAATCAAGTTTATGCAAAGAATACCTCTACAAGGTCCTTTCTTGGTCTCAGCTTTAAAAGGGGTTCACTGAGGCGAATGGAGCACATGCCACCCCTCCCTTCATAGCTGCATATACCGGCACACCTGGAAAACAACGGCCACAAAAGCATTACGTACCAAGGATACACAAACGAGAAACAGAAATGAAAGAGAAAATCAGTTCATGCTACTTCGCACGAGGACGGACACCCTCTTTGTTAGGAGACGTCTGCATCTCACCCTAGGGAGACGGATGTGTGAAAGGTAGTGACATCCGTCACCCTAGCCAGGCAGTGACCATCCCTCGGCTCTGCCAGGCTGCAAGGGCCCGAAGAAGAGAATCCTCTTCTGCGGCTCCCAGGCTCCTCCCTACAAACTATAATCAGTCTGTGGTAATTACAGCCAGATCTCCGTGTCTCCAGAAACTGTAACAGAAGTCCACGTGAAGGAAGAGTTGTTCTAGATCATTACCTGTTTTCTATCACTTCAAAGACAAGCACCATAAGACACAATCCCATCTTACCCGTGTTAACTCCATTCCTGTGCAGGAACAGATTATTTCAAATCGGGATTTCTCGACTTGGTCGGAAAGGGATCCTGTGAGAGGCATCCCTGAAGACCCCTTGGGTCCAGAAGTATGGAAACGGTCAACCCTGTCCTCCTTCTAACATCTGAGCTCATGACTAAGTAGTGGTATCTTAAGGAGCATTGAAGAGGGCAAGCCCCATCCTTGGGAGGCCTCGCTGTGTCCTCAGCCTTCTTTCTTAGGGGCCGACTAGCCTCTTCCTCCTGAGACAAATCAGGAATGTGTTAATTTACTTTTAAGTGAGGGGAGATTCGAGAAATATCCTTTCAGGACCCCTAGGTAGCTCTTGCTTTCAGCTCAGGCCATGACCTCAGGTTCCTGAGATTGAGCTCCCCCCCCCCCCCAGGGCACCAGCTGAGTGTGTAGAATCCCTGCTTGGGATTCTCTCTCCCTCTCCCCCTACTCTCCCCTGCTCGGCTCACTGTCTCTCAAAACAACAACAACAAAACAAAGATATATCCTTTTCTCTCACTGTGTCCTTTGTTTTTTAAGTTTATTTCAGGAGACAGAATCAGGTGCGCAAACACGGGGCGGGGGGGTGGGGGGAGAATCCGAAGCAGGCTCCATGCTGTCAGCCCAATGGAGGGAGGGGGGCTCGAACTCACCAACCGAGAGATGACCTGAGCCAAAATCAAGAGTCAGACACCGAGCCGACTGAGCCACCTAGGCCTCCCTCACTGTGTCCTTTATAAATCAAACTGCTGGCGGGACGGGCCGCACAGCCTTCTCCAAGCTGCTTCAGCAGGAGAGAGACGCACCAAGAGGAGCTGCTGGTCCCAAATAAAACCGACACCGACACCCCCCCCCGCCCCGCCCCCGCATTTCACATCCCCTGGGACCACTGGGGTCGGAGAAAGGAGAGAAGTCCACGGCCGGCGGCTGCAGAAGCGCTTTCCCCAGCGGGGCTCGAGACTCACAGGGTCATTCGCATGCTCCACTTCACCTCGACAGCCTCCAGCTGGCCCCAGAAGAACCGATCGTTGAACTGCACAAACAGGGCCTGCAAATCCGGGGTTGGGTCCACCAACTCCCAGGACGCGTCCACCAGCGACAGGGGCGCCTGGGCCCGTTCGCGCTCCGACGCCTGCAAGTTCCACTCCTCCTGAAGCCGTAGTGCCAATACCAGATCCTCATCCATGTCTGCCGGGATCCCAGGCGACGTTAGCCGTCGCCAAACGGTCTCCCGGGCGAGGCCGCGACGCCAAGTCTCTGAAGCTCCGGGCGCCCGGTGCGGCTCCTAGGAGTTACCGGCTCTCAGGTCAGCCCGCCGATCTCGCGAGAATTCAGGAATAACTGGCCCGAGAACGAGAGCTGAGTTTGCCCCAAACGCCGAAGCCACGATTCTGCGGCTTAAAGAAGAGAACGCAGTATGACACCTCTTAGTGGGCTCAAAACGTGCGTTCCCAGGCCTTGGTCTGAAGGAAGGTTTCAAGAAACCGTTTACTACCTTTACGCTTCTCCGCTAACTTCAAACAGCAACACCCCATTCAGATCATGCGCAGTATCCACGACTCGCTGCCTCGCTCTCCACTCTTCCGCAATAGTGCCTACGGCGCATGAGCCCTAGTCGCTGGCCTTCCTGCGCAAGCGCGTTGTCTGCGCTCGGCCCCTGCGCAGGCGCGGTGTGAAACTCAGCCCCGAGCGCAGGCGTACTTGTCTCCCTTCCATCCTGCTTCCTCTGCCCTGGAGCTCAGCGGGGCTTGGGTGGGTCTCGACCGCGGCGGCACCCGCGGAGGGGGTAGTGACAGCGACTGCGTGGGACCCGGACGGAAATGGCGATGGCGATGTCGGACAGTGGGGCGAGCCGTCTGCGGCGGCAGCTGGAGTCGGGGAGCTTTGAGGCCCGGCTGTACGTGAAGCAGCTCTCGCAGCAGTCGGACGGGGACCGGGACCTGCAGGAGCACCGGCAGCGAATCCAGGCGCTGGCGGAGGAGACGGCGCAGAACCTGAAGCGCAACGTCTACCAGAACTACCGGCAGTTCATAGAGACTGCCCGCGAGATTTCCTACCTGGAGAGCGAGATGTATCAGCTCAGCCATCTGCTGACGGAGCAGAAGAGCAGCCTGGAGAGCATCCCGCTGACCCTGCTACCGGCGGCCGCCGCCGCTGGGGCCGCCGCGGCCTCTGGAGGAGAGGAAGGAGGAGGTGGCGCGGGGGGCCGAGACCACCTGCGGGGCCAGGCTGGCTTTTTTCCCACCCCCGGGGGCGCCTCCCGCGACAGTGCGGGTCCGGGCGAGGAGGGGAAGCAGCGCACTCTTACCACTCTGCTTGAGAAGGTGGAAGGCTGCAGGCACCTGCTGGAGACGCCGGGGCAGTACCTGGTGTACAACGGGGACCTGGTGGAATACGAGGCGGACCACATGGCCCAACTGCAGCGGGTGCACGGCTTTCTCATGAACGACTGTTTGCTGGTGGCCACCTGGCTGCCTCAGAGGCGGGGGATGTATCGCTACAACGCCCTCTATCCCCTGGATGGTTTGGCCGTGGTCAATGTCAAGGACAACCCGCCCATGAAAGACATGTTCAAGCTGCTCATGTTTCCCGAGAGCCGTATTTTTCAGGCGGAAAATGCAAAAATCAAACGAGAGTGGCTGGAAGTGCTGGAGGAAACCAAGAGGGCCCTCAGTGAAAAACGACGAAGGGAACAGGAGGAGGCAGCGGCCCCCCGAGGACCGCCCCAGGTGCCTTCCAAGGCAGGTAACCCATTTGAGGATGAAGAAGAAGAGGAGCCAGCCGTCCCTGAGGTAGAGGAAGAGAAGGTGGACCTCTCCATGGAGTGGATCCAGGAGTTGCCTGAAGACCTGGATGTCTGTATCGCCCAGAGGGACTTCGAAGGGGCCGTTGACCTGCTGGACAAGTTGAACCATTACCTGGAAGATAAGCCCAGCCCACCTCCTGTAAAAGAACTAAGGGCCAAAGTGGATGAGCGCGTCCGACAGCTTACAGAGGTGCTAGTTTTTGAACTCTCCCCGGATCGTTCCCTGCGAGGTGGTCCCAAGGCTACTCGAAGGGCAGTCTCTCAGCTAATCCGGCTGGGCCAGTGCACCAAGGCTTGTGAGCTGTTTTTGAGAAACCGGGCAGCCGCTGTGCATACCGCAATCCGCCAGCTTCGCATCGAAGGTGCCACTCTACTCTACATTCATAAGCTATGCCATGTCTTCTTTACGAGCCTTCTCGAGACGGCGAGGGAGTTCGAGACGGATTTTGCAGGCACCGACAGTGGCTGCTACTCTGCCTTTGTGGTGTGGGCGAGATCAGCCATGGGCATGTTTGTGGATGCTTTCAGCAAGCAGGTGTTTGATAGCAAGGAGAGCCTCTCTACAGCGGCCGAGTGTGTCAAAGTGGCAAAGGAGCACTGTCAGCAACTGGGTGACATTGGACTAGACCTCACCTTCATCATCCATGCCCTTCTGGTGAAAGACATCCAAGGGGCCTTGCACAGTTACAAAGAAATTATCATCGAAGCCACTAAGCATCGTAACTCTGAGGAGATGTGGAGGAGGATGAACTTGATGACCCCCGAGGCCCTGGGCAAGCTCAAAGAGGAGATGAAGAGTTGTGGAGTCAGAAACTTTGAGCAGTACACTGGGGACGACTGCTGGGTGAACCTGAGTTACACGGTGGTTGCCTTTACCAAGCAGACCATGGGCTTCTTGGAAGAGGCACTGAAGCTGTATTTCCCAGAGCTGCACATGGTGCTGTTGGAGAGCCTGGTGGAGATCATTTTGGTCGCCGTGCAGCATGTGGATTATAGCCTCCGGTGTGAGCAGGATCCAGAGAAAAAGGCTTTTATCAGACAGAACGCATCCTTTCTATATGAGACCGTCCTCCCTGTGGTCGAGAAGAGGTTTGAGGAAGGTGTGGGGAAACCCGCCAAGCAGCTCCAGGACCTGAGGAACGCGTCTAGACTTATCCGTGTGAACCCCGAAAGTACAACATCAGTGGTCTGATGCTCGGGTCTTGGGTATATGTATACATATATGTTGCTGATATATTATTTATATTTATGTATTAAGTTGCATTAGCATATTCTTTATAGTTTCAAACACAGCTTAAAAATAAAAGGTGCCCTCTCAAATAGAAACACAGAATCAAAAGGAAAAAGCAAAGGTTACAGTTAAGCCCAAATCACAAAAGGTCAGAATTGTTAAAATATATGCTTTCCTTTTAAATTATGCTGACGCTCTGTGAATATGTGGTCACACTGCGTTTCAGTGTATCCTTTGAGCCAAAACACACTTCCTGACAGTATGTATTATGCAGCACAGAGAAATCCTATCTAAAATACATAGGGTTTAAGTATGTTGTGAAGTTTCCCCATTGACTAAAACTTTAGGTTTCTTTTTAAGAAAATTTTTTTAACGTTTATTTATTTTTGAGCCAGGGAGAGACAGAGTACAAGCTGGGGAGGGGCAGAGAGAGAGGGAGACACAGAATCTGAAACAGGCTCTAGGTTCTGAGCTAGCTGTCAGCACAGAGCCCGCTGAGGGACTCGAACCCACGGACTGTGAGAATATGACCTGAGCTGAAGTCAGACAACTAACTGACTAAGCCACCCAGGCTCCCCAAATTTTAGGTTTCTTAAAAGAAACATTCTGGCTCATATACTTCCCCACCTTAAAATGTGATTAAACAGTTTTGGGAAAAGAAAGAAAATTGATTTTATGGTACATTTTGGTCAAAAGAACTCCTTGAAAGTGGCTAGTTTGTGGACTCCCAATACTTAGATCCTTCTAGAACGCAGGAGGAAGCTTTCATAAAAACAGTTCAGCAAACATTTCCAACGTCATTTGAATGGCCAATTATTTTGAGCTGCTAATTAGCAGCTTTATAATACTTGATTGGGAGCATTTACTTGAATCTTAAGGACTATGGTAAAAACACATTTTCAACATGTTCCTGAACTGTGTGAACTTATAGTTGGAGCTTTTGTCTTTATCATATTAAAAAAAATAAATAAAAATGATTTAAAAAGCAGGACAGACTGAGGAACCTGGCAGCCACCAGCTGCCTCCCACCCCCCCACCGTCTGTGTCAATTAATAGTGGCTCAGACTTCATGCAAAGGGGAGAAAAGTTTACATGGAAATATTTATGTAGATTTCCGGTCTGGGTGGATGGGAAGAGAGAAAAGATCCTATGCACACCCTATAGTATTCTCAAGTGTGACTGCTTTGAGCAGAGATTAGCTTTTGGTTTTTTTGTAACAAAGTAGAAAACAAAAAGGGGAGGCTGTGCGCCCAGAGCAAAGGGAGGAAAAGAACTTTCGGTGACTCCAACTGCATATTTCATATTTTATTTTCTATTTTCCTTTATTCTTAAAAGTGAACATAATGTTTACTTCAGGTTGCTTAGTAAAACAAAAATAGCCCAAGAAATTTGAGCTTCCCAGGGTTTCTGAGCTACTGTTTTTATCGTACCTTGAGCATGTAAGACTTCTCCTCCTTGGAGAGAAATTGTGCTGAGGTCCATTTTTCCACTAGCTTCCCGTTGTGATTCTTGTCCCGAAGTGCCATTTCTGATGCCAAGGGCTTCAAAAGGTCGTATCTTTTTCCTGAATTAAAATAGTGGTATTAAGACTGGAAATTATGTAAAACCTAAAATAGCTTCCCAGAGTGGCTTAGGTTTGTGAAGCTCCCTGACTCCATTACTCGTAGCCAGAGGAGCCCTTTTATTTATTTTTAGCAATGCCTTTTACACGTGGAAAATTATCAGAGTTACAGATTTTCTTTAATTTTTCACATACATTTAGGATTTTGTAGATAATGAGCATAACTGGATATCTCAGCTGAGCAAAAACAGTTATAAATGGTCTTTTTTAAGATCACTGGAAACATGAATTTGATTCCTCTGTGCAACTTACAGTTTCTAAAATTATAGTGTGTGAAACACTTAGCGTGTAAATATTTGATGTTGGGTCCATGAAATGATACTTCTGAAGTCAAAACTTAAGGCATGAGGTTATACAAACTGAAATGTATATACTCAGATATTTAAAATGATTGCGTCTTCATAGAACTGTTTGCTTTTTCAAACTGGAAGTACAGAACTGTCTTCTGGTAAAATCTGTATTTTCCTTGATCAAAGTTGTAGCTGTTGGTAGATTCAGTTATTGTGGGAAGTTGATCAAAGATCGTCAGTGTTACAATGTACCTTTGTGCCAAGATAGAGAGATTACATTGCATTCCCCTAAGTGGAATCAGAGCTCTTCTCTAATTCTCGTTTCGTGAGACTCCCAAGTGCTAAAAATTGAATGAGATTGTCCAAAAATATAGTGCATACTGTAATATACCACTTACACGTTTATTGCCTTTTCTCGTTTGCTTCAAACATTACCCTGTTGCTGAGGTTGGAATCACAGACTTGATTGAATTAATTGCTGTTGCAAAAAAGACACCCTGTGGAATTAAGTCTCTTTTTGATTAAAGCCTCATTTCATTTAAAGTGCTGAATGCTCACTTATTTTTCTTTAAAATACCACCTATAGTTAACTTATCAGGACTTGTATTCTGCAACTTG